GTGCTTAACTTAAAGTCCATTATCCGATCGAAGCAAGCGGGAGCTGAATTACCCAGCAGCACAAGGCTCGAGGAATGGGGCAGGAAATGCGAAGTCAGAAAGAACAGGAGGACTTGTGGCACCTTAGAGACTAACACATTTATTTGAGCATAAGCTTTCCTGAGCTACAGCCCACTTCATTGGATGCATTTGAAGCTTATGTCAAATAAATGTGTTAATCTCTAAGGTGCCACACGTCCTCCTGTTCTTTTTGCAGATACAGACTAACACGGCTGCCGCTCTGAAACCTGTCAGAAAGAAACACTCAGACTTTGCACACTGCTACTGATGGGCAAGGGGAAGTGAGGGACTTGGCAGGAAAGGCCAGATCTTCACCTCCCGGGTTGGCGGAACCTGCTCCTCATGGTGTTGTAGGGTCCCCAGCCCAGAGAAGAGGGGACCCTGTTACAGCCACCAGCTGTAACATCTTGCGAGTCAGCTCACGTTGGAGCAGCTCACGGCGTTTCGCTCTGGCCGTCTCCAGTTCGGTGCCTGGCGGGTTGCCTAAGAGGGCACCTGGATTTCCCGAGGCGCTCCTCAGCCAGCGTGAGGCATATGACTGTGCTCAGGGCGCTGGGTGCCTCTTGTGCAAATTTGGCCATAAATTAACATACAGTGTAAATGAAGGAGATGCACAAATACTGCACCGCACTAAGCGTACACGGTGAGAGCGCGACCTCAGTGCAGGGCAAAGGCTGTACGTTTAAAGCAAAAGGAGGAGACTCAGCAGGGGAGGGTCTCCCAGCCACGTTCGCTCCCCGCGGCACATCTCCCTGACGTAATTTAAAGTAGATCATTGCCAGCCTAGTCATCCCACGTGCAGCGGGTCTCTGGGACTCTTCAGGTTCTCTTTTTAAACACACGCAGGGTTTTTGCAGCTGCCCACTAATTCAGGGGCCGGATGGTGCCATTAAGGCCCAGCCCTGAAGAGGGGGCAGTACAGAGCGGTCTTCGCTTCACGGGTAGCTGGGGGAGGCCTCTTCGCGCAAGGTCCAGGCAGCTCAGGGGCTTCATTCGAAAGCAACTGGAGCTGAAAAGATGATTGATACTTGCGGGGATCAGCAGGAGCACTTTCTCCTCCTCCTCCTCCGGACTTCTTATGAATGGCCAAAATTATTCACTAGTAGTTCTGAGTCCACTGAAACTACGTTGCTGGCTGAATAAATTAGTCATCCAACAATGTTTGCCCAGCTCTAGCTGCCACGGCCCCTGCTCCTAAGGGGAGAGTAACAGGCCTGGGGCTGGGCTCCGTGGAGCAAGCAGGCTGGCTAGAGCTCAGGGGAAGCAGTGGCCCTCTGACTCCAGAGCTCAGCGAGGTCTTCCATCACTGGCTGTTCGTCAGGGACGTGGAGCCTGAATGGTGGAGGAAATCTATGAGCAGGGAGGCAAAGTGCTGCACCCAGGGTTGGAGGGGGAAGGCCCGCCAGTTAAGGAGAAGGATGCTCCAATGGTTAGAGCACTACGTGATGTCGTGGTAGAGGGGGCTTGAGTTGCTACTCTGACACAGACTGACTGTGTGATCTTGGGCAAGTCACTTAGCCTCTCTGTGCCTCAGGTTCCCCTCTGTAAAATGGGGATAACAGTGCTCGCAGGGGTGGGGTGAGCATGTCAGACTGGGAGGTGCTTGGATACTGGGGTAACAGGGGCCATGGGTGCCTGAGAGGTGTCTGTGACCAGCCAAATGGGCCATTGGGTTTGTGGCAGTGGGGCTGGATTAAGGCACAAGCGACCTAGGCTGAAGGGCCGGCTCTTGAACCATACATCGGCACTGGCCAGGGAGCTGCGGTGAATGGCTGCATGGGGGAGCTGGCCAGGAATGGGGTGGCGGAGAGCCCTGGGAGGGTGGATATGAGGGAGTGAATAGGGCAGTGTCTGCAGCAGGAGCCAGTCACTGATTGACCTGGCCAGGAGAGCGTTACCTAAGCAACATCCATGTGTGTGTGTGTGTGTGTGTTTGCCTCCTGCCCAGGTTCATCTAGCCCTGCCTGGAGGTGTGAAAGTAGTGCCATGCCCAGACCCCTCTTAAAGGGAAGGTCATGATATAGAACAGCTGCACTTTCCTTAATGGCCGGAGAATGTTTTCCCACCCCTGCACTCAGCTATTGCAGATACGGCTAAGCCAACTAACCAGCCTTTTAAACAATCACTTTGGGGTTAAGAACAAGCACGGCGTTTTCAGCCTTAAGGGAGTTTCTTTTTCCCTGCAGGAAATTAAACTCCTTGTCTAAAAACAATGGCTTAAAGGATAAAGCACCTTCCCACCCATAATTATAGCATGACTAATGTGACTGTAAAATAATACATCCCATAGGTGCAAGAAAATTGGAAAGCAGAAGGAAATAGCTAAGCTGAGTTTTTGAAAGCGTCCTGAATAACTACTATGGGTTTGATTCTGATTTGCACTGCCAGAGTGGTGTAGAGAGGCCTTGTTGTAAATGAGAATCAGGCTTCTGATTTTGCTCAGGGTGATTAAATACACCCAAATGCAGGGAACGGATGGTCTGTGTATTCCCCCAGCAGATTCTTTAAAGACAGAATGAAGTCATGTAAATCGGACCCATACTTCACAAATCCCAATGGAAGGAGTTTCTTCCATTAGGTCAGCTAAAGACCAAAATCACTTGGAATCATTCCAAAGTTTCCTTTATTTACAGTTGCACTTCTTTTTTTCTCCTGGGGGGTGCGGGAGAAGAGAAGACAATACAAAACACTTGATCAGGCTCCCCAGCTCTCTGGAGTATGAATTATTCACTACGCCAACAAATAAACATGCCATAAGGAAATTACACAAAACATTGAGTCAACAGGAAATACCAACCCAACTTCATTACGTGGTCAGATGGGAATGGGGTGCAGGGAATGCTCCTGCTAGAGGAATGGAAGGATGCCAGACGGAGGCAATTCCACCTTCCTGGCCAGGGCAGACTCTGTACAAAATGATACTGGGAAGTATCTGACCCTGAAAGCTCAGTGTGGTCTCTGAGGCTGTCCTGAAGATGCTGGGATCACACCGGTGTCTTTGTTCCCTTCTTAAGGAGTGGCCTGCTCATTGAGAAGCACAGCGAGGATAATTACAAATATGTGTCCAAAAGACACCATAGTGGGTTCTCCAGTTAGCTTCTTCTGAGACAGTCCTGAGGCTGTTCAACAAAATCTGCCTCCCTCGGCCCTGTTTTAGTGGCTGGCCCCCGCGCCACCCCTATTGGGCTTGGGCACCCCACCATCATGCCCAAAAGGCCATATTTGAGTGACTGGCATGGCAGCACCAGTCAGGTTTGGCCCAGCAAGGAGAACAGTCTCTGGGGCTACGACTTCCCCCCCAACATAAATGGACAGGGCCTGAGGGGAGCCTCGGTTCCACCCCCACGTGTGGCGGAAGCAGCATGCGAGGGCAACGAGGAGTCCGGTGGCACCTTAAAGGCTAACGGGTTTATTTGGGCATCAGCTTTTGTGGGTAAAAGCCCCACTTCTTCAGATGCAAGGGGAAATCTTCTACTTCTGATAAAGGACTGGGCCAGGTTATTGCCCCACTGGAGAAAAGGTACTAAACTGTGACTGTCTGAGTTATAATTCATGCCCTGATCAGTCGCTGGAACAGAGCAGCCGCATGGCTCCCTGGGCTGAGCACAGCCTGGTTACGATCTAACCCCGCATGAAGAGCCTGCTGCTGCCTGGCCCCGCTTTTCTGAGCAGGCTGCTGAGGGCCCAGGAGAGCTCTGACCTCAGCCTCTGTCCAGGCCCTGCCCTGCACTCATAGAAACCAATGGGAGTTTAGCCACAGCCAGGGCCCAGCTCTTGATCTGGACCATGCAGGGTTGGAGAAGCATGGAACAGCTTCCTCTCTGGAGAGGGAGGGAGGCCGAGCCGCGCTGGAGCTGGAGGAGAGGGAGGGAGGCCGAGATGCGCTGGAGCAGGAGGAAACGGAGGGAGGCCGAGCCGCGTCAGGAGCTGGAGGAGAGGGAAGAGAGGCCAAGACGTGCTGGAGCGGGAGGAAACGGAAGGAGGCCGAGCCACGTCGGGAGCTGGAGGAGAGGGAAGAGAGGCCAAGCAGGGCTGGAGTGGGAGGAAACGGAGGGAGGCCGAGCCGCATCGGGAGCTGGAGGAGAGGGAAGAGAGGCCAAGCAGCGCTGGAGTGGGAGGAAACGGAGGGAGGCCGAGCCGCATCAGGAACTGGAGGAGAGGGAGGGAGGCCGAGATGCACTGGAGCCGGAGGAGAGGGAGGGAAGCCGAGCCGCGTTGGGAGCTGGAGGAGAGGGAGGGAGGCCGAGATGCGCTGGAGCTGGAGGAGAGGGAGGGAAGCCGAGCCGCGTCGGGAGCTGGAGGAGCGGGAGGGAGGCTGAGCAGGGCTGGAGTGGGAGGAGAGGGAGGGAGGCCGAGACGCGCTGGAGCGGGAGGAAGCGGAGGGAGGCCGAGCAGCATCGGGAGCTGGAGGAGAAGGAGGGAGGCCAAGAGGCTGGAGCGGGAGGAAGGAGGGAGGGAGGATCGGGAGCGGAGGAGAGGGAAGAGAGGCCAAGCAGGTGGAGGGGAGGAAACGGAGGAGGCCGACGCACGGGAACTGGAGGAGAGGGAGGGAGGCCGAGATGCGCTGGAGGGAGGAGAGGGAGGGAAGGAGGGTGGGAGTGGAGGAGCGGGAGGGAGGCTGAAGGGCTGGAGTGGGAGGAGAGGGAGGGAGGCGAGACGCGGGAGTGGGAGGAAACGGAGGGAGGCCGAGCGACGGGAACTGGAGGAGAGGGAAGAGAGGCAAGACGTGTGGAGCGGGAGGAAACGGAAGGAGGCCGAGCCACGTCGGGAGCTGGAGGAGAGGGAAGAGAGGCCAAGCAGGGCTGGAGTGGGAGGAAACGGAGGGAGGCCGAGGACGGGAGCTGGAGGAGAGGGAAGAGAGGCCAAGCAGCGCTGGAGTGGGAGGAAACGGAGGGAGGCCGAGCCGCATCGGGAACTGGAGGAGAGGGAGGGAGGCCGAGATGCACTGGAGCCGGAGGAGAGGGAGGGAAGCCGAGCCGCGTTGGGAGCTGGAGGAGAGGGAGGGAGGCGAGATGCGCTGGAGCTGGAGGAGAGGGAGGGAAGCCGAGCCGCGTCGGGAGTGGAGGAGCGGGAGGGAGGCTGAGCAGGGCTGGAGTGGGAGGAGAGGGAGGGAGGCGAGACGCTGGAGCGGGAGGAAGCGGAGGGAGGCCGAGCAGCATCGGGAGCTGGAGGAGAAGGAGGGAGGCCAAGATGCGCTGGAGCGGGAGGAAACGGAGGGAGGCCGAGCCGCATCGGGAGCTGGAGGAGAGGGAAGAGAGGCCAAGCAGCGCTGGAGTGGGAGGAAACGGAGGGAGGCCGAGCCGCATCGGGAACTGGAGGAGAGGGAGGGAGGCGAGATGCGCTGGAGCGGAGGAGAGGGAGGGAAGCGAGCCGCGTCGGGAGCTGGAGGAGCGGGAGGGAGGCTGACCAGGGCTGGAGTGGGAGGAGAGGGAGGGAGGCCGAGACGCGCTGGAGTGGGAGGAAACGGAGGGAGGCCGAGCCGCATCGGGAACTGGAGGAGAGGGAGGGAGGCCGAGATGCGCTGGAGCCGGAGGAGAGGGAGGGAAGCCGAGCCGCGTCGGGAGCTGGAGGAGCGGGAGGGAGGCTGACCAGGGCTGGAGTGGGAGGAGAGGGAGGGAGGCCGAGACGCGCTGGAGCGGGAGGAAGCGGAGGGAGGCCGAGCCGCATCGGGAGCTGGAGGAGAGGGAGGGAGGCCGAGATGCGCTGGAGCGGGAGGAAACGGAGGGAGGCCGAGCCGCATCGGGAGCTGTTTTTTCACCACCTGAAGAAAAGGCGAAGACGTTGGTACTTGACTTTAGCCCTGTCAGACGTCTCTGTGACGTCAGCAGAACGTCCAGTCCGCACAAAGTACACGCCTGCTTACGTCTTCGCAGGATTGAGAGTGGAGCATCTCCTGGACAGGGAGCAAGTGGGATGGGAATGGAAGTGGGCTGTGCAGGTAGACAGACGTCACTCTTCTCTTTCTTTTCTTCCTTATTTCTTTCCTCTCTTCTTTTGCTCTCGTATTACACAATAATACTAAGAAGGGGTAGCTGGGTGGTCACCCCGCGCCGGCCCTGAAGGGGTTAAAACAGCCCTGGAGAGGGCTGCCTGGGGGAGCCAAGAGTAAAGGCAGCCCTGGAGAGGGCTGTGGCTGGGAAAAGCTCGGCTGACTGGGGGAAGCAGCCACAGCTGGGGCCATGCCCAGTCAGGCCACAGCTGGCCCTAGAAGAGGGCTGTGAGCCTGGAGCTGGAGGAGCCTCACTCTAGCCCTGGAGTGGGAAGGGCCTGGCTGCCTGGGAGCAAGGTACCAGAACTGGAGCAGGGCTGGGGAAGGGCAAAGGGAGCTGGGGAGCTCCAGCCTGGTAAACCCCCAGGCTGTGGGCCTTGGAGAAGGCCGACAAGGGTACTGGGGCTGCAGAGGGGTAACACAGAGGCAGCAGGCCCTAACCCCTTGCCAATGATGAGTGGCCATTACACTGCCGTCTGCCCCAGTGAGCAGGGGCTAGATGGTGACGGACAGTAGCCACTGAGGCAAGGTGGGTTTAGAGGGTTGGGGGTTCCCCTGGGAGGGAGAACCAGAGTTGGGGGTACTGCAGAGGGCAGAACCCCAGGGTAAGGGGCACTGGGGTCCAGGAGGGACACAGGGCCAGCGACAGGTGAGACACCGGCCTGCAGAGGGCGCTCCATACGCTGGAGAGCTAATTCCCAAGACGACCAGCAGGAGGTGCCGCACCGCTGAGCCGTCGCCCTGCTACAGAAGGGTACTTACATTGCAGTAGCATTTAGACACCCCGGTCATGGATCAAGGCCCTGTTGTGCCAGGCACTATACAAACTCAGAACAAAAATGATGGTCCCTGCCCCGAAGTTGCTCCTAAAATCTTGTCATTCTCTCTTGACTCTGGTTCTAAATGACTTTGTCTTTGCTGATCTCTATGGTTGTTTGTAACCTATTGCCCCTAGCTATCTGTGCACCACCGCTGTAGTGTTCCTGGGGGCTTTGCAGGAGTTCAGGGCCCAAGCCTGCAAACTCTTCATGCATATGCTTATCTTTAATCCCCTGGAGTCGACGGAATGTCGATGGAAAATTAAGCACGTGAGTAAGACTTTGTAGGAACAGAACCATAGTAAGTGCTTATTCCCTATGCTTAAAGTTAAGCATGTGCTTAAGTGCTTAGCGGAATCGGAGCTTAGAACTGGGGTGGGCAAACTTTTTGGCCCGAGGGCCACATCGGGGAATAGAAATTGTATGGCGGGCCATGAATGGTCACAAATTGGGATTGGGGTATGGGAGGGGGTGAGGACTCTGGTTGGGGGTACGGGCTCTGGAGTGGGGCTGGGGATGAGGAGTTTAGGTGTAGGAAGGTGCTCTGGGCTGGAACTGAGGGGCTCAGAGGGCGGGAGGGGGATCAGGGCTGGGGAAGGGGTGCAGTTCCGGTTGGGGGTGTGGGCTCTGGAGTGGGGCTAAGGATGAGAGGTTTGGGGTGCAGGAGGGTGGTTGGTGCTGGGATTGAGGGGTTTGGAGGAGCGGGAGGGGGATCAGGGCTGGGACAGGGGGTTGGGGCATGGGGAGAGGCTCAGGGGTGCAGGCTCCAAGTGGCACTTACCTCAAGCAGTTCCTGGAAGCAGTGGCATGTCCCTTCTCCAGCTCCTACGCGTGGAGTGGCTCCTGACCCTCGGAGCAAGGCCATGCGGTTGCTTCCAGGAGCCACGTGGTGCGGTCCCCATCCCGGCGCCCCGGCTGGAGTGCCAGAGCAGGGCCAAGCTGTGTGGTGCGGCCCCCGACCCCACTCCCCAGTGGGAGCTTGTGGGCCAGCTTAAAATGGCTCACAGGCCAGATTGGGCCCGCGGACCATAGTTTGCCCACCTCTGGCCTAGAAGCTAGCAATGCAGGCGGCAGCTGGGTACCCAACAGAACTGTGCTCCGACCTTACGCAGCGCCGGAAGCTACTGGCGTCCTCTTGGTAATAATGGTAATCCCTCCCTCTTCCCATCCACACAACTCAAGCCACTCAACCGAAGAGGTCGGTGCCACAGCCCACATTTCTCAAATAGGGAAACTAAGGCACAGAGAGGGGACGTGGCTTGCTTGTTATGTGAGGATGTGGGTGGGGCTGCAGAGGCCAGAGGTCATTCTCCATTTTTGGAAGGCAGAGCTCTCCAGCTGGCTTCAGCTCCCAGAAAGCTCTGGTTAAACAAGTCTTGGCTAAAATAATATAACCAGTGAAGTGTCTTTATTCATCTGCTAACGAAGAGCTTGGAAGAGGCCTGAAGTAAGAGCTAAAGGGTTCTTATCTTACAGCACTAAAACCAGAAATCTTTAGTGGTACCGTAACTAAAACAAACCTGCAAACCCATGAATCAAGCACTCAGCGTTTCTAATGAACGCAGCTATTCCTTATCTGCAGCACATTTCTCTGAAGCAAATGTTTAGCTGCACTTTGATCTAATAGGAGATTTATTCTTTTGTTAAATCCACCATAATAATTACTGCCTATGTAAGGTGCAAATTGAAATTGCTATTCTCCTTCATTGCTCCAGCCCACATCCCTCTGTAGTGTGGTGGGAGCGTGCTCTTGGGGAGAACAGGGCGTTTTATTCGGCTTCACCTAGAGCTGCAGCAAAATCACAACAAGGGTGCATGCTGTCAGCACAGGTGAGCTGAATAACAATGCCCTGGTTTGGTTGCAACCGTAGCTCCCACACTACATTAATTTAGTAAGGGGAAATCTATCTTTCCACTGGAAATAGCTCTGATGTTTAGCAATGGGGTACTATTTGCCTAAGCAAAGTAAGGGACTCAGAAATCTTCCATTCACTTAATATTTCAATGAATTAAATATTGCATTGAAGCAGGTGGGGGTCCCAATTTAGCAAAGGTCTTAAGCACACTTTTAAAGGCCCCCTGATTTTAGTATGTACATTGAACACATGCTTAAGGGCTCTGCTGAACCTGGGCCTCAGTGCAGAAATCCTAGCAAAGCAAGACAGAAAAGAGCCCTGCCCCGAGCTGTGCATGAATATGTGAGTTGTGTTCAGTAATCATTTCTATCCAGCCCCTCCCGTAAGGTAACTACACTGTTATGCATGAATTTTAGGCTATTTCAAGACCACCATGTGTGTGTGCATCAGACTTAACACAAGTGTGTATTGGTACTGAAGGGAGGTAGAGAAATTTTAAGAAAGTGTCTTCAGCCTTTTGAGGTGCAGCTACTGTGCAATGCCATGAATTAGGCATATAATTACAGTCAGAGTCTCAGCACACCCACGATCATGTCATGATTAATTCATAGCAAGGCAACCCTGTTTCAGCTAGCTCATTCGGTGTGGAATATTCAAGGTGGGAGGCCTTTACAGAAGTTGTTCTCATTTTTAATTATTCATCACATTGTTAAAACTTTCTGATGTCATGAGGGGTTTGATTTTAGGCAATCTGGTTATTCCTGGGAAAATGAATGAGTGTCTCTAACTGCTGTTGTTTTGCCAATTTGCATTATAAAAGAAATTAATGGCAAAATATTCACTACATTGGTTTTATTATAAAGATTCGTTTGGCACCTTAACAGCAAAATGTAGCTGCCGTGACACCTCTGTAGGAGTATGTCTATGCAGCAGTTCCCAGTTCATTAGCTTTTTTATTCATATTAGATGGCCTTTGGGGGCTGCAGTCTTTAACTCAGGGCCTTCGTTGCTCATAGAAGCCACTCCCAGTCCGTGTGGAACCGTGTCCCCCTCGAGTGGTGGCTGGAACCCAGAGGTTGATACACCGGCTGCAGCCCATCGAATGGAGGTGAGTGTTTTAGCTCAGACAGTAGATCTTTGTGCTTTCAGCTCCAGAGCTCCTGGTTCAATCCCCACGGCTGCCCTGCACACAGGGGCCCAGGGTTAATGAGATGCTGTACAAACACACAGAGATGGTCTCTGCCCCAAAGAGCTTACAGTCCAAGGATGTAGGGTACAATACAGGAGAACCTCAAGTTATGAACACCTCGGGAATGGAGGTTGTTTGTAGCTCTGAACAAAACGCTCTGGTTGTTCTTTCAAAAGTTTACAAATGAACCTTGACTTAATACAGCTCTGAAACTTTACTATGCGAAGAATTTAAATGAAACAAGCACAGAAACAGTTTCCTTGCCTTGTCAAATCGCTTTTTAAACTGTCTCTTTATTTTTTTTTTTAAGTAGTTTATGTTTAACACAGTACTGTGCTGTGTTTGCAGGATTTTCCCCCCATCTCTGCTGTGGCCTGATCGCGTATTTCCGGTCCAAATGAGTATGTGGTTGACTGGTCCATTCATAACTGGTGTGGAACCTCAGAGTTATGAACTGTATTTACTCCTTAATGTGGCATACTGCCCTCATGCAGCCTTCCCATAGGGCAAAGCTCTACCTTTCGACGGAGAAGGAGGCTTAAGGCAGTGTCTACACTGGGATCCCACGCATGGGTGTAGTTGCACTGATGCAAACCCCTTGTGTAGACATGATTCATGCTGCTGCAGAAGCCGGAGTAAGTTGCACTGCACAGGCATAAACCCTGTCAACACCGTGGCTTGAGCTGGTGCAGCTAGCTGATACCCCAGCACAGCTGAGGCCTGAGTTTAATACAAA